TCCCCGTCCTTGCAACTACCTAAGCGGCTATGAAGCATGGTCGGCTGGACTGCGCCACACCGTCCGGCGTCATTTTCGATTATTGCTGCGAGGGTACCCGTCGTTTTCACAAAGGCTCAGACGGAATATGGCATCTTCCGGCCGCTCACCCTTTGCGGTACTTGGAAGAATAGTCGTGCCTACAGAATGTGAAACGAGGCAAGATGCCATACCAACCCATTACGTATCTGCTTTGACACAGCAAGGATGGCAACCAACTCCTGGTTCATAATTAAGCCTGGGCCGGCATCGTAGGGAAGCGAGGTCTGACGACAACGGCATGCGTTTACATGAGTACACCCACCCCATCAAGTTGGTCGGGGCCGACCTCGACAGGGCCTGATGGTGGCTTTTGGGTTTCTCTGAAACCGATTCTTGCGGACGCGAAACGAGGGGAAAGCAGTGCATCATCCCCGCGGAGAAACGTGGGAGATTTGTCAGATACTATTTACAACTATGCATATCTGCACCCGCCTTGCTGCCCTCGATCCTCCATGGTGAAATGACGAAGACACGCAATTAGTGATTACCCCCCGTAATCCGCCCCAATCAATGGTCTTATCAAAACTACACAATTCGCTGGCTGGAGGTTTCAAACGTACATGCCGACAACCTGTGGGGTGTGCACCACATGAGTAAGCTCCCCCCATACTCGTTTCTCTTGCCACAAAAAACACGTGTCGGACGCGTACACCCGCGATTCCCACCTCTGCCGAACCAAACAATAGTACATTGCCAATCTTGTCGCGCGTTTCGGCGCAGGATGCCCTGGAGTTGCCGTGCGTGAAGGAGTCCCTGTCACGGGTGAAGTCTGCCGTGCTGAGCGCTTCTGAGGGTCTGTTCGAAGCCTCTGCGGGCGGAGGGGTGCTGCTCATGGGGAACCGGGTGGCGCACCCGATCTCGCAGGTGTGGTTCGGTCGCTCGGTCGGCCGGCCTGCCTTTCGGATTGAAGTGTTTGGCGTATTTACTTTCTCGTGTCCGTCTCACCCCGTCTTGTTTGTTCCTGCCGTGAGCTCGTTGTTGGTCTGTAGCACTCTGTTGGAAAGTGAAAGAACCGTTGGGATGCGAATGTGAATATCCAAATGGTCCCTCCATTTCCGAACAGAAAATGGGTAACTTGTTGTGGAGAGTTGTGCTTGTGCATCTTATTTACGTGCGTGTGTTCTGTGGTGCGCGTTTCCGTGGATAGCGACTGCTGCTGCTGGTGCCGTCGAAGTTTTGTTTTGCTGCTGCTGCTGCCGTCACTGGTGCTGCTGGTGCTGCTGTGTGTGTGTACCTTGCAGTCTCTACTGCGCTCGTTCCAATGCGATACACACCCCAGCAGCTGCATGTTCGAAGCATGAGAAAGTGTTCGCTGCTTTCTGCCCCAGCTTGCTTTTGTGCTTGTTTGCGTGCTATAAGGTACCTGTGCTGCTGCGGTTTTGGGCCGAGCGCGTGGTTACGAAGCCCTCTTCTCTCGTGCGTTGCGATGCAAATAGTTCAACCCACCTACATATGCATGCCATCTTTTTTCTCACATCTGTTCGCTGGTGTTCTGTTGCTCGCTTGCATGCCGGTGTGCCTGTGCCCCTGCGACTGTCTCTGCCAACTTCGAAAGGCGACGCTCGTGCAGTGCGACGCGCTCTGCGACGCTGTGGATGAGGCGGAGGTGTTGCTTTCCAGGGGAACCTCGCTCCTGCACAAGGTGGGTTCGCAACGATGTACGCCACACCGAGAAAAAGTTCAACACCGGGAACATGCCACTTTGCTTCTACGAGAGTGTGTCTGCCTCTGCAGAGCCAAGGCCGTCTCGAGCACCGTTCTTCCTGTGATTGCCCTAACAGTTATGTTCGAAGGGGTCTGCGTAGCTTCCTGAATGTTTCTAGAACCAACGACGGTTTACTCGTAGCCTCGCGTGACACCCCCTCCTTCAAACCATCATCGCTACTTGAGGTACCCTCTATCAGTAGAGCACGAGTCAGACTCAAAAGGTGGTGGTATGTTTCAACCCGGCCGTTGTTACGCTTCCTGTTGGGGGATATTGTAGCGATAAATCTATCTCTCAACGTGCTCTGGGCTCGGTGCGAATTGGCCGCAGTGTACGCGCCCTTCTATGTAAAACACAATCGTATCGAGCGTGTATCTCTCTTCGCGGCGGGGGAAGGTGAGAGGACACAGATGGAGAGAATTGTCATATTTTTGCCCATTTCTTAACCACCCTTCGTCATGGGCAGGGCAAGGCAATCAGCTGCAAAGGGTTCTGCATCATCATCGCGAAGCCTTTTACCTCGCTCATAGAAGAAGCAAGGGGCGCGATTTCCAAGCCCGAGTTGTCGCACGCACGCGAAGGCTCCCAAGCCGGGCAAGATATTTGGCGGAATCCCCGATCCCCCCCTCCCCCCCCCTCCCCAACCCGGGTCGAGTAAACCTTCTAATCATATTGTGCGGCTTATCTCCGTTTTTCCCGCCCACACCCCTCACAGCTTCCGAAGGAGTATGGTCTCGTGGAAAAGCTGGTAACCACCAACACCGCCAGCTGCCGCGACAACAGCGCCGACAACATCAGCAACAGTAGCAGCACCAATGTCGGTAGCGCCACAGATGGACCGCTTGCCGTGCTGACGCGCTACCTTGCCTCCGGCGACCCCGCGCCCCCCTCATTCCCGAGGCCGCTAACGGGAGCGACCGGCGGCCCAGAAGAAGACGCCTCTGGCAGCGCCGATGCATCTCCTCCCCCGGCAGTGGCAAGCGGCGTCGCCGGCGCCGGCGCCGGCGGAGATGTCGATCACGCTGCTGCAAGGGGCGAGGGTAAGGACGATGACACGAGGCGGTACTCGACAGCAGTGCCTTCGGTGGAGCCTTCGCCGCCCCGTATCCAAGAGTACTCGGTAAGGTGGCGTTTGCCCAGACAGGGGACAGGGGACGCGGGACACGAAGAAGAGGAGGGCGTCGGTGCGAGGCTTTACGCGAGGGTCATGAACGATGGGTGTTGGGGCGATGCCGGGGAGGCTGATGATGGCGGCGCTGATGAGATGGACGCTCCCCCGGTTGTCAGACTCGCCGTATCGGTAGCCGAGCCCGCAAGCGTTAGTAGGTATTGAGCGAAAGTCAGACCGCCCCTTTCGGGGGGGTTAGACCAACTAATGTCGGGAGGTTTGTTTCCCTGTGTGTACGGGGAGTGAGAAAATTGTTCCTTGAAATTTTGTACAATAGCATGCTGACTTGTCGGAAAGATGATAGAATAGCTCGACCGGTTGGAAGTGTATTGATGGGGTCTCCCTTTGGTTCCTGTTCGGTGGCGGTGGGGTAAGCGTACTCTCCTCAACATTCGTCTGTCGGTCTGTTGGTTGCTCTCCCCACATCCTTGTACCTTGCGTACTGCGGCGACCTGGTGGGCTACTGCTGTCTGTTCCAGCTCACAGCTGTTGTCGTGATGTGGCATAGGTGATTGCTGTGCCGGCTAGAACCCGCCAGGAAATGACAACCCGAACGGCTAGTTCTGACAAGAGGGGACACTTTTTTTCTCGATTGAGGACGTTGGCCGATGTCCGCTCCCCCCCCTGCAAGCGTAAGGGTAGCCTGTACACGCGATAGGCTCCAATTTCAGATTGTTGAGTGGTTTTCCGCAGCCGGGACGCGAGGTTGCTATCCCGCTGTATCGAACCGAGCCACGATGCGTGCGCAGCTCCGATACAGTGCGGCATGTTTACGCAGGGGCCGCGCTCTGGGGAAGAGTGGAAGCGTGTGAGAAGGTGTGCGTGTCTGTGTGTCTTTAGTTGCTCTTTTCTTAGTTCGTTGTGAGGTACACACCTGGTGCTTGATCACACCGGTGCTATGCATGATACCAGGCGTTGTGACGGCCGATTTTGATGGACGGGAAAGCTCTTGCCAGTCACAGAGTTGTACTCTCCCAGCGTCGGGGCCGGATGGGCCGCCACTGTTTTTATGATCGCGTTGTCGACAACTACGTACCTCACCTTCGACGGCGCACGCTTAATCCTGGCCGGCGGCGGGGAGACAATACCCTTGATTTTTCTTGCCAATTCCCGTTTCCTGCCGAGACAACTACCGAGACAGCGAAGTGAGTTGTTACAATAGCTTCAGGGCCAACTTCTACCCTCCTCTTCATTTCGGTCTCGTGTTGTCATTGCTGTTGTGAGGTGGTCGCAGTGGGGGCTTTCCTCATAGCTGCTTTAGCTGTGAGTGTTTCAACGTCCACAGGCGTTGTTTTTTGCCTAGGGGTGACTCTTGCTGATTGCTTCAAAGCTCCCCTCCCGTACCCGCGTTTCGCAAGCGATCGTTTCTCGCTCAACACCGTCAAGTTTCTCCTCTGGGGATAAGAGGGCGTACAGGAACAAAAAAATTATCACGAAGAACAGGGGCGGCCGTGATGTTTACGCCGGCCAGCCTTCGCGCTACAGCAGCCCCTCGTCATCGCCACTTACAGCTCGCGACTACAACTCTACGGAATCAGAGGCTACATAAGCCATGCAGGGATCGCTCGAGTCAAAACCCATTGCCAAACAAAATCGTACCAAAAAATGGCACTATTAACGTGCTGCAGTAGATGTATCGAGAGGGATCGTACACACCAGGAACGTTTTCATTGTTTTTCCGCGTTTTTTTTCGCACCCGACCGCGGGTTGAAATTGGCAAAAAAAAAAGAATCCATCACAGAACGTGGGAGCTACAGCAGACTCTTACCGTCTCCACGGGCATGCAAAACAACCCAACTACAGAGCACTGCCAAAAAACGTGGCCAGCTCTCATGCCACACGCGAAAAAAATACGGTAGCCCCTTGCGCGAGCTTGCAGCTATCCCTGAAGACTATTCCAAGATTCCTACTTAGATGGCTGCATCTGCTCTAAATTACAAAACGTCCCCCGCTGTCATGCCACGCGCGGAAAAACTAGCCCTAGGAGCGAGCTTGGAGCGAGCTTGCAGCAAAACCCAGTAACACCCCCCAAGTTCTTCTATGATGGCTGCATCAGGAACTACCAATAGGTACAAGCTACAAGGCTTGTTCTTTACGCTACCGCGAACGTTGCCGCCACTCGGTCGAAGGCCGACTCCGCGTTGGCGAGGGACTGCACGTACGGGTGCTGGGGGTGCGCCGTCTTGAGCTGGTTGATGTAGCGGTCGACGAATGAGGCCGGCTTGTCGAGGTGGCGGCAGACGCAAATCAGGTTCACGAGCGTGTCCGCGTCGTTCTGGCTCTTGCTGATGGCCTGTTATCCCCGAATAAACAGGAGAGTAGAGGGGAGGTAGTGGCCACGGCGGCGGCGGCAGCAGCAGCAGCAGACTTGTTCACGACAAGGTGTTCGTCAGTCATTTCGAAATACAGCCGTTGGCGCCCGGGTCTGGGAGTAGCCCTTGGCACTTACACTTAAGGTTCACGCATGGGAGAGAGAGTGTGTGTGTGTGAGAGAGAGAGAGAGAGAGATTGTTGGATGTGGGCTCTACAATGGTGCTCGGCATTGGTTCCAGCGGTAAAGCGGGATAGAGATGACGCCAACCGCCCCGTTCGCGTGTCAAACTTTGACTGCCACATGACAGCATCTATTTCTGCTGTCTTTGTACAGTATGTCACACCCACGGGGTCACGCAAAAAAAAAAAGTCCCCACGCCCACCACCATGGCGCAAACCGCTACGATTCAACGCCACGGACTCATGCCAACGGTCCCCTTCCGCAAGTTGCTCTCGGCCTTCCTCCTACATACAGGACGATGACGGAAACATCTCGTGCGGGTTTCGAAGCTATATGAGCACTCGTGGGGGTGGCGCACCTCCCTCGCCCCAACGGGCGGAAACATTCGAGCTACAGCGAGGTTGTAGGTATGGGATGAGGATAATAGGAACCCCCTTCTCCCCCCCCCCCCCCCCCCCCCCCCCCCCCCCCCCCCCCCCCCCCCCCCCCCCCCCCCCCCCCCCCNTCACTTCGTGAACTCGGCAACCAGGTTACCGTTTTATTTTTACCTCCGTTTTTTTTTTTATTTTGGCGGTAATCAGAATGGTGGTCGAGTAGATCATGTTGTGCGGGGTGGAAAACCCTCACTCCGCGCAAGGGGGATGATCGCACCACGTTGTGTCAAAATGGTCAAGCACCCTCGAGGCAGTCACACAGTGCTTACAACTGTCTCAGGAAGTGAAAGCACCAGAAAACAAATTAAGCCATACGAAGCTGTCATCCGTACGCAAGGAAGTAAGCACAAGATGCCGAGCACCCTTCGCAGGATGCAGCGCACCCTTCATGCGACTCGCCGAATATCTCACGGCGCTTCGCGCTTAGTGATGTGAAAGCCTGGTCCGGTGAGAACCCGGCGTGCTCCGTCCCGGCTTTGTAGGGATGCGAGGTCAATGGTCTAACGACTACGGCATGCACGACTATGAGTACACACCCCCCCCCCCCTTGTTCATCATGCACTTATGAACACGCCGTTTTCAGCTACCAACATCAGACCGTTCCATGCCGTGAACATCGGGGCATCGCACATGAGACAGAAACGTGGTCGCCAACACCAACATCACGCCTGAAACCGACAAGCTGCAATGCATGCATGCCCCGTGACGGCTATCGCTCACCTCGACAAGAATGGTCTCGGCCTCCTGGTACTCCCCCATGTGCATCTTCGCCACGGCGCTGCTGTTCAGCAGGAGAGGGGATGCCTGCAAAAATACCGTGGGGGGTTGGGACGGAACAAAGGATCACCCAATCGTGGGGATACGTATACAGAGAGGCAACAACCATCTCCAGACATCCTTTGATACCGCCCATTGGGACACAGGTAACGACTCCGGATTGCCCAGAGGCTGAGATTGATGAGCTGGTTTTGTGTGTGAGTGTAAAGCACAGCCGGTGCCACGCAGAGGGGAAACACGCCCACGAGAGACGACAGAAATATACCGCAAAAAAAAACAACACAAGTGTAAAGTGTGCCACGATCAGGTTAGTTCCGCAAAGGCCGCCGAAAACCCGAGATGAGATGCTACGTCCCCAAGGAAAAAAACCCCAGCGAAAACAAGCACACACCCAACCATCTATCTCTCCCTCAGTTGCTGTCGAGATAAATTGCCTTTGGAATCCCGAAAATTTTGAGGTATCCATTGCCCACAACACCCCATGGGCTCGGGTATCGTCGGAAAAGAGGGGGCCGCATGTGTACAGGGATGGGGGGGGGGTGGGGTGGGGCGACGCCCGTACCTGATACTTGTCTATAAGCTCGTCGAAGATGTAGGCGGCCTCCTGGTACCGCTTGCCCCCCTGCGCCAGGTGGACCCAGGCAACCACTAGCTGGGTCAACGTGGCGTCGTCGTCGGCTTGCTGCAAAACCTGGACCTGAAACAACAAGCGAACAAACCGAACGGGTTTTCGGGGGATGACCGATCGAGTAAGCCAACTCAGCAGCGGGTGTGGTGTTCGACGAAGGTTATGGTACCGGAAGTGAAAACCTACCGCCATCCACTTGTTGTACTGCTGACTCGCTGTTGTTGTGTCCTGCGATGGTCGAGCCTGGGATTTGCACGTGATAGTATATCATATCGGAAACCGTTTTCCACCACGCCAACTGCGTAGGGCATCTTGCGCAGGCCTACTTCGGTAGGAAATCAACTCACACCACGTCGTCAGAAAGCACCTGGGGTGCGCGAAACACAGAACCCAACCCCACCTGCTTCAAGGCCAGGTCGACACGGTCCATCCTGAGGTAGATCTGAGCAAGCATAGCAGTCCTGCACGAAGCCGAAAGCAGACGCAAGGGAGGCGCGCTAAATACAAAGACAGGGTTCTTATCAAGAGGAAGCTGCCAATTGCGATGACCTCGGCAAGGTAGCTTGGACTGATGGCATTCATTGAGACTATGATGTTGGTGTTGCGGCAACCCATCATCGACGACAATATGTGGGCCCTTGAGAAAAAGAAGTGGAGCCATACGCAGGGCCTGCGATCCAAATGGAGCTCTTGATGCTCTGAAAATCGAGAGGTTCCGACCATGTGCAGGCTAGGTCGGCGTCAACATCGGCGTGAACGGTAGCGCCAAGCTAGGCCCCACGAAAACGTCTGGCTTACAGCTTCAGCCTTCTCACGCACGGATGCGGTTGAACGAGACAAAAACACGACAAAAGAAGCTGTAGCCTGAGATAAAACAGCAACGAAATCACGAAAGCAAGCAACACACCACGACGGCAGAGCAGACAACCCTTTCGAGTACAGCGGCTCCTGATGCCGCCAAAATATAAACAACACATAGACAACGTTTCAACACCAACAACAGCAACGATGCCAACAGCAGCAACAGCAACAAGCAACAACAGCAACAGCAGCAACAACGACACCATAGCAATACCACCGATACACCAACACCAACACCAACGAAAGCGATACAACAACAACAAAGGAACATCAACACCAACCACCAACACCAACAACTCACTGCTCCATGGTGACCCCGTTCCTGATGCTCCGGACGGCCTCCTTCAGATCCCCCTCGTGCGTGAACACCGCCGCCGCCAGCAGCTGCACGGTCGGGTTGTTGCACGAACCCGGGTCGGTGAGCCACATCTTCAGGGTCTCGATCACGATCTCTCGGCTCTCCGGGTTGGACAGGTATTGCGCCATCAGGCGCACGGCCTGGAGGGCCGGAGGCGCATCGTCCTTGATCTGGAGAAACGAAAAAAAAGGTCGAGAAGGGAGCCATGTGATCTAGGACGTACTTGTCGATGTTGTGCAGACTGGGGGGAGGTAATCCCGAGCTATGACGTGGTAGCACGCTGTGCTTGTGTAGTAGGGGCGGGGAGGCGGGGACCGAAGGGCGTCAACACCATCCAGGTCTGCCAATGGTTTCAAGGCGCGTCTACGGAAAAGTTGGTGCCTACTGCTGTACCTCCATTCTCCCGGCTGGTCCTGCTTCGATTCGTTACACTCTCAAGACGCCCGTTATGCTTGTTCGTGGAAGGAGTCGCTAGGGGCGGTGGACGCCTTGGAAGGTTGGAATGTCGTTGACGTACAAAAACAACCATTTTGA